GCTCATTAAAAGCTACTAAGAAGAAATGAAGAAATGAATAAGCAAGCTATGGACTGGAGAAGAATTTGCCAAAGGATTTGTATCTGGAATATATAAAGAACTACCATATCTGATTAATAAACCTACAAAGAAACAGCCCAATTTTAAAAATGGGCAAAAGATTTGGACAGACCCTTTATGAAGGAAGATGAATAAACAAGAAACCCATGAAAAAGTGCTTGACACTGATGTTCAATAGGAAAATGCAAATTAAAACCACAAGAAGATACAGTCACACATTCACTAGAATAGTTAAAATTTAAATATCTCACAATACCAAATGTTGGTAAGAATGTTGAACAACCAGAGCTCTCTTACACCGCTGGTGGGAACATAAAATGGCATAAACACTTTAGAAAAAGGTTTGATAGTTTCTTATGAAGTTAAACATACACCTACCCTTTAATCCAGCAATCCACTCCTAGATATTTATTTGTCCAAGAGAAATTAAAACAAAACTGTCCACAAAAGACTGATTTAAGACTATTCATAGCAGCTTTATCCATAATAGCCCAAACCAGAAAACAACCCACATGTCCATGAACGAAACACAAAGAGTTGTATATTTGCACAACAGACTAGTATCAAGCAACAAAAAGGAACTTCGGATACACACACAGCATGGATGAGTCTCATAGACATGCTGCGTGAAAGAAGTCAGATATAAAAGAGTACATATATTGGATATTACCATTTATATGGCATTCTGGAACCTTCTAAGAACGAATCTAAGGTAACAAAACTCAAAACAGTGATTTTAGGGGGTAGAAAGGAACTAACTTGGATTTTCTGGGGTGCATGGAAATGTGCTATCTCATGGTATTGGTGAAGGTTACGTGGGGGACCCATTTGTCAATTTGGCACACTAAGATCTATGCATTTCAATGTGTGTAAATTACACCCCACAAAAAAGGGCTGTAAGAACCTTAATAATAATAATTGAGTGGGTCAGGGTGGGGAGCAGGTGGAAGCATAGCTAAACTAAGAAAGGCAGAATGTTGATAATGGTTGAAGCCGTGTGATGGAACAGAGGGATCCAGGGTCGGGGTGTGGGCAGGAAACTGTTACCCCAGAAAATAGGGGTGTGGGCATGGGCAAAGTGACCTCAAAATAGGGCAAAGGGGTTAAAGAGAGATCTGTGAGGTGAGAGAGTCCCCTGGCTCTTACAGGAGAGACTGTGTAACTGATTCTGAGGAAGAGGAGACCCCAGAGGAAGAGAAGTGCTTCTTGGAGAAGCTAGGACTTGGGCACAGGAGACGGACATGGACATGAGAGACAGAGAGAGGTGCGGAGAGAGAGGGAAAGAGAATGAACAAGAATTTTACCTTTTTCACCTTGTCTCTGGAAAGATACCATCCCTTGAAGGAAAACACACTTTCAGGGGCCAGGGGCCCTGGACAGAACAAAGATTGGGTTTGGTTGGCCTGATGAATATATCCAGAAGGGACCGTCTCTTAATCTTGCTAGAACCGGTCTACTTATCTACCCGGTATTTGTAATTGTCCACTCATTGGACACTCTGCCTACATACATCTTCTCAGTGTTTGGCTCTTGGTCTTGTGTTGCCAGGTTGCTAAACAGAGCTCAGCCAACAGTGCTCACCAACTACACAACACACACTTTTTGATCAACTCCTGTGTGCTGTCCTCTGCTAGACACGGGGTTATAGACTCAACCGAGACAATGTCCCTCTCCGCAGAGGAGCTCTGGGAAGGCACATTTCCTTGCTTGGGGTACACATTTGCTCGCTCAGTGGTGTTGCTGACAAATGAGGTGAAGCGACGTCTCAAACAAGAAGGGGGAGAACTGGCAGGAACATTCTGGCTTTTTCTCATTGGCTCACATATCCTTCCTCCAGTATATGGTTGGTGGTGTGTGTGTGGATTATGCCAGCTGGTGAGCAACCGTGAGTGTCTGAGATAATGAGGACTAAATGGTTTGAGTCCTCCCAGAGACTCCCCAGTGTCTAAAATGCACCACTTACCGGGACTGGCGGCTGAAAGGGAAATAAGTCAACTACTGCCCTGGAGACAACCACATATGGGTCTGTGCTTGCCGGACTGGAAGCTCTTCCTCCCCTCCCGGATTCTGGGAGGCGCTGGGGCTGGGGCCCCTTCACCTTCCATGCGCTCCAACTGGCAGCTCAGTGTTTTGCTGAGACTCGGGACTCAGCAAGCGTCTGTGAATGATTCAATAAACGGGGGAGCTGTCGCAGGAGAGGAAGGAGAGGGCTTTGCAGGTGGTTTGTGAAACAGAGCTCATCCCTGCGGATTTGTTTTCCTTGCAGTTTCCGGTTGGGGCATGGCAAGGTAGAGCCCAGCCAGCACTGCAACATCAAGTCACCGTTCCCTGCCACCCAACTGTTGTCAACGATACCCTCTGATCTTAGAGCGAGGGCCAAAGGATGGGACTAGCTAAGGAGGCAAACACAGACACAGCTGTGAGGGGGCAGGGCGGACCTGCTGACCCGCTCCCCTCCCTTCCCCTCCTTGGCCTCTAGTGGACCAGTCGCCTGGTCAAGACTGATTGCCTTCTGCTGGGTGACATTCTTGAAGTCTCCCAGGTACCCTCAGCTGCTTCTCCAGAGCAGAAGAAGCAACCAGTGTGCCTGGAGAGGGCAGACAGTTTTCAGACAGTAACTGCCATTTATCAGATTCTCACTGTGTGCTGGGAACCATGCTAAGTGCTTTATCCGCATCACCTCCTTTCATCCTCCCAACAAGACGCTGAGGAAGGGGCAATTATTACCCCATTTTACAGGTGAAGAAACTGAGGACCAGAGAGGCCAAGTGACTTGCCCAAAGTTACTCAGCAGGTGAGTAGCCAGCCAAGACGGGAGGGGGAGTTTTGCAGCCTGACTGGCTCCAGAGCCTGGGTTTGAGTCTCTCCTGCTCCCCTTTGGGAGGATTTTGATTTTCTTTTCAAACTGAGAGAACGGTGAGCGGAGAGGATGTGAAATGGGGCCTGGGCAGCGGAGAGAACTAGTGGTAGCTCCCCGGTGAGGGATTAGGCTGGGACTGCTAGGTGGGGCTGCTGAGGACTTGGGGGCTGAGGCTGGGGGCCCTAATGGGGTCAGCAGAGCAGCAAGAGGCCGGTGACACAGTGGACACGAGTCACCACCACCATCATCCAGACAGGGCCTAAAACGCCTGGTGCCTGCCCCTTTCTCCACCTGGAGCATCTCTTTTCATCCTCATGGCTCTACGAGGGCCGTGCTCTTTTTTATCATTCCCATTCCGCAGCTGAGGGTACCGAGGCTCGCTGCTGCTCACCCCAAATCCTGGTCTTTTCTATACTGCATGGTGCTTCTCAAGGATGGAGCCCTGGCTTTTTCCCTCTCTTTTTCTTCACTACCCTCCTTCCTAGCGTCCCACCACCTCTAGACCTGCTCATCTTTACCTCTGCACTCACCCTGCAGCCCCTCTCTGCCCCTGTCCTCCTGTGAATGTGCCAGAAGACTGTCAATATGAACAGGTTACCAGGTTTAGCCAATAAGATGCCAAGCTGTCCAGTTAAATTTACAGTTCAGATAAACAAAGAATGCTTTTTTTTTGGTATAAGAACGTTTCAAATATTGCACGGGACATCCATATACCAAAGATTTATTCGTTGTCGATGAGAAATTCGAATTGAACTGGTCATCCTTGTAATGTTAGCCAACCCCTAATAAGAGGCCCCCTGTGTTTGAGCTGGGGTTATCTGTCCCTTTGCATGCTTCTCCTCCCCTATAGGAATGGGACTATTCTGGGAATGGCAAGGACAGAAAGCAGAGAGAGGGCACATCGCCTCACAGCTGGGAGGCTGGGCCCGGAGAGTAGGTTGTCTGGTGGGAGACAGCGGGAGGGAAGGCTATAAAATGCGAGAGGCAGAACTAACACAGTTGATTACTCCTGAGAAAGACCCTTGCAAGCACGGGTTTGTTTTCGAAATTCCTGAGACCTGGAGGGTCTTGCTCTCTCCCCACTCGAGTCCCCAACAACGCCCCTCCCAGCTGTCAATACTGGTCGCTGCCCTACCCTCAGTGAGACACCCAGTTGGTGAGCCCATCCCTCTGAGACGGTGAGTGGGGCCCAGTGCCTGAGCTGATGACGTAAAGGCCAGAGTGTTTCTGAATACGCTGCTGCTGTCACCACAGCACCACTACCCATCTGTCACCTGCTCACAGTGCTTCTAGGAAGGGAAGTTCTCCAAAGGTCACACTCAGCCTAGACAGTGCCGCTCAACTCTCTCTTCACCCACACAGTCAGTGCCCGGGCCCTGCCCAGGAACAAGGTGGAAAAACAGCTCAGGCGATAATGTCTGCTTTTCCCCAGACGCCTGGTCCCGGTGGCGCATGTTCGCCCTACACATCTTGTCCGTGTTTACACATGCCTGCCTCGTTCCCCTTTCTGCGATGAAGCCTGTCCCAGTCAGCATGCTGCAGCTTGTTTTCCTGGCACCTGCTCTGGGCGCCTGCCACACCTGCAGCGGGGAGGGATCGCCAGACACTGAGGTCTGACATGGGATGCCCAGGACGGCGGTCTGGGTCTGAGTTCCCCGCCCACGCACTCTGGCAAGGGGCCTTGGGCTTCCCTGTCTGGCTTTTTATTCCTGCCTCTGCCCAGGTTTGGGAGTGTGGTCCCTGCTCAGCTCTTTCCCGAAATGGCTGCCGAGGGTGAAGCCTAGATGCTATACACACAGGGCTGAAGCAGCTGTCCGCACACAGCTTCCCCTCTCCCAGGTGCATAGCAGGGACCGCCCCCTCCTCCCCTGCCACCATGCTCCCTGAGGAGTCCCTCCAGCCTGCTGGTGGCTGGTTTACCCCTTCCCAAGGCACAGCCCCATCTCCGCTGCCTGTCCTTCTCGTTTGCCTTCCAACTCCAGTTCAAGACTCGACACACTCGAAAGGAAAGTTAAAACCAGCTGGTTCCTCCAGGGAAATGGAAGGAAGGGCAGAGGGGACGGAGCCTCTCCTTACTTACTGTCCTCGATGTCCCGGGGAAGGGCAGCGGACCGGGGAATCACACACAGCTCGCACAGGGAGGAAGCCGGCAATGAGTTTCTGCTCAAGTTCTTCATCCCAGCCAGAGAAAGCCTCCCCGGCCCCATCCAGGAGTCGGTGTGTGCAGCGGATCCAGCCACTGAGCAGGCTCCGGCGGGGATGAGCTCACCAGGATATGGGCTAATGGCTTAACCCCTTGCGGGCTGCTGGCACAGGCACTCCGAACATGGCTTTGTCTCAGCCCTGCTCAGCCACTGTGAGATGAGTCCTGTGAAAAATTAATGAAGCTCCCCTGCAGACTGTCTTCAGGTTTTGGTGGAGATGTGCATTAGGTTGGTGTCTGGGCAGGGCTGCTTCTCTCGATCGAGGCTCAGAGATCAGAAGACTCGGAGTTTCTGGGTTGGTGGAATGTGTGGTGGTGATGGGGTGTCAGAGGGTGGATGACTCAGAGGCCGTGCCAACTCTGTTCCGTGCAGGCCTTGACCATGAGACCTGGGAACTCTGCTTGTTCTGGATGCTGGGGAGGGCACGCGTAGACCTTTTTTTTAACATCCTTGGGTCCAAGATGGCAGGGATACCTTTGGGAACTTCCCAATGCCTACGGGTGGGCACCCTGTGTGACAGAATGCCAGGAGCCCACAGCAGAGGGTAAGATGAGCACACAGGGCCCAGTCCTACCCCAGGACCAGACATCTCCAAACTGGAGGCGACACAGCATGTTCACCCTGCTTCTGCCGTCCTTCCTGATGATGCACCTGTGGCTTTCCGTGGGATGCCTGCTGCTACGGTGATGAGAAGAGAAAGATGAAAATCACTGTAATGAGAGAGAAGGGGTTTCTGCCTCTGAAAATGATTGTGGAATTGTGCTTGGGAAGCTGTGTGTAGGGTGTTGAGTTGCCCGTTCTCAAGATGCTGATGGGTGCCTTGATGCCAACAAAATTCCCTAAGATCCTGGAAGCCAGACCGGCCCTGCCCTTCTCCACGCTAACTTGAGAATTCAAGAAGCCATTGCCTCTCACTGGCTCTGGCCACGGGTGAGGGAGGGTCCTTGCTACTGGCAACAGACACTAGGGGGCATCCTCTGTGCTCTGTAGGGGAGGTTCACCCAGGAATGATCCAGCAAGTGGAAGGCCAAGGCGGGAGGGGGATTCTTCCATCTCCGGCATCTCAATCGCCATACTTGTGAAATGAATGGGACATTTCCAGACTGGGAAGGCTCTGCAGAGGTTGATGTGTGATAAATGGCCAGAGAAGCAGAGAGCTGGGAGGGCCAGCCGTCCACAGAGCTGCCGTGAGGGGATCAAGCTGAGAGTGCTTCTCTCTGTCTTCCTCTGTGAAGGCTGAGCATCCTCCGCTTGGGGAAAATGGGGAAAAGGAGGCAGTGATGAGCGTCCCAGGGAAGCTGATTTTGAAGCTTTTGAGGATGTTGCTGCGCTGCGGTAGATGCCTCTGCCTTTATGCTCGAATCAGTCTGTTAAATCAAATGGCCTGGCTTGTGAAGAAACCCTGGGGTGAATTATTTTGCAATGCAAATAGTCAAATTATTTTTTCCTACGTTCAGACTTCTGCCTTCTCCCCCACCCTCTGCAGGGTGAGACAGCGTAGAGTAGAAACGGCCACCAGTGAGACAAACCTTTATGTAGCACTTCTTGCTAAATAGGCACCAGGCTGAACACTTTACATGTATAATATTTCATTCATTCCCCTGCACAACTTTTTGAGGTAGGTATGTGAGGTATGTTGCTATCTTTATATTTGGCCTCTGACAAATCACTACTCTGAGTCTTAATGTCTGTATTTATTAAGTGGATGTGATCATTGCTATCTCAGAGAGTTTTTGTGAGGATTAAATAAGAAAACACACATAGCAAGTGCTTAATGAATACATATATATATACGCACACCTATATATAGTTGGTATGTATATAAGTGCACATGTATATATGCAAATTAGGGGGATTTGGGCTCTAGGAGAGAGCGTCCAGGGTACAAGCTGTGCTGTCTGCAGGCTCCTCCCTCACAGGACTCAGCAGGAGGTGTGAGAAGCAGGCTCGGACCCTGGGGGTCACTCCGTGTCCTGGAGGGGAGGGTGCTGCTGCGCGTGCGGTGGGGAAGGGGCCCTGCCTGGGCGAGCCTCTGGGCCCTCTTATTCCGAGTGCCCGTTCATCCTCCTGTAGCTCACAGCTGCTGCCGCTCAGTTATGCTGCCCCTTCCCCTGCTAGCCCCGTATCCCCAGCACCAAGGGTCTGACGCGGTGACCAACCAGCCAGGAATGCCCAGGACTCACCAGTTTCCCCGGGACACAGACCTTCAGTGCTAAACCAGTTCCAAGCAAACCGGGGTTAACTGGTTACCTTCATGGGGACGTGGGCAGCCTCTGTGCCTGTGCACACGGCTCTCCTTCTGGAAGGCCCTTCCCCCCCATCTTCCTTTCACTAACCCACCCCATCTGGCCTCACGCTGAACCGCATTCCCCCCCCCCCCCACCCCCGGTTCATAGCCCCTCCTCGGGCACTCACAGTGCTCTTCTGCCCTGTTACACTTCTTGACGATTGTCTGCCCCCTCTCCACAGTCCCCAAACTCCTTGGAATGCTTTTTCTGCATAAAAAAAAATTATTATGGAAAATTTTAACCATATGCAAAAATACAAAAAAAGTTATCTAATGAATCCTCATGTATCTCCAATTCAGCTTCAACAATGATCAGTGCTCATTCTTTTTCATTTGTTTCCCTCCTACATTTTATTTTGAGAATTTTAAAGCAAATCCCAGACATCCTTGCGAGTGGAGATGTGTCTCTCCAACAGACAAGGGCCTCCTTCCTTCCTTTCTTCCTCTTTTTAAAATCACAGCTAAAATGCCATGATAATCATACATGAAATTTCAACATTCTTTGATGTTAATACCCATCCACATTCTTAATACCTGTTCTGCATTCACATGTCCTAATTGTCTCAAAAGCATCTTTTTCTGGTCAGGTTTCCATAAAGCAGAATCCAAACAAGTGCCGGCCATCACTCCTAGCAGCCGTGTCTCCCAGCCACATTCCTTCTCTCACAGCCGCTCCCTACTCTGTTCACACCATTTAGTTATTGAAAACACCAGATCATCTGACTTAGAGACCGTTCTGAACTAGGCTGACTGCTTCCTCATGGTGTCATTTAACATTTTCCTCTATTCTGCAAGGGCCGTGTCTAGATTTCCGCGGTAACCGGGATCCTAGTACAGTGCCTTGGCCCGGAAGAGGCGCCCAGTCACTGTGGGATAAACGGCCAAGTGAACATTCACAAGGGACCTGACAATTTATAGAGGCCTTTTGTCTGTCTGCCACAGCAGCCCCATGCCACCAGCAGGGCCGTGTTGTCTGTGTGCCTCTTGGTTGTAATGCCAGCACAGGTCACCAAGACTGAAGACTCAGAGGCAGGGCTCATTTCCGCCCTCCCTTCTCTGCCTCTCACATCAGGTCACGGGGACCCACAAAGAGGGATGCTCAGATGAACTCTCAGCTCCGAGTCCTCTTCAGAGGCGGTCTCCCTGAGCAGGAGTTTCCACAGGGCCCCGCGTCTCCTGCCAACACCAGTCCAGAGGGGAGCTGGGTTCTAATCGTGGGGAGGGAGCCTGGCTGGGTGCCAGCAAGGGAGGGGGCCAGTGGGGCCATGTAGTGGGTGCGGGGTCTACAAGTCTATGCGGAGGTGCTATGCAGCACCCTGTCTTTCACACTGTTTGCTCCAATGTCTTTTTATCATAGTCTAATAACTACAATGGCAGCTCATTATTTTAAAAAACAAACAGAAAAAAATCACTGCCTTTGGAGAATATGCTCAGAGGGAGTCCATCATGTCCTGTTCCCGCACCCCCCCCCCCCCCCCCCCAACTAGTGATGCTGCTTCTGGCCCAGACTGTGCCAAGGGCAGAGCATGATACAAGACGGAGGAGGTAAAGGGGGGATTCCCATTCCAACTTGTGGGCGGGGCTCCAGCCCGTGGGATCTGGGTGGATGTTGGGGAGAGGAGGTCTCCTTGGCCCACAAGGCCCTAGGCTCCCTCTGAGGGGAAGAGCAGCCTGTTGTTCCTAGGGCCCAGGAAAGTCACGCAAAGCAATGAATCAGATCAGGCAGCCCCGGGGAGGAACTGCCACCTCCACCGGCTGCCCTCCGTGTTCACCTCCGCTTCCTTTCCTGTCTCATCAGGGGTGCCACTGCAGGAGGGGCACTCAGTGGCCCTAAGTTTCACCTGGTCTGGCCCCCTTGGTTCTCTTGACCCAGTTAAGTAAGTGTCTGCCTGACCGGTCTCTCTGACTGGGTCCAGCATCTTTCTCTTTAAGCCACACAGATCCTAGAGCCAAGGTTCTTAAGGCATTTTCTCCAGCTGCCTCTGTCTTTGCTTTTCTCCTTCTTCTTGTCTCTTCTGACTCTTTTTCCTTGTCTCTGTCTATCTTCCGCCTTGTCTGCTTCTGCCTCTCATACATGACAGGTCTCAAGATGTCCTAATTTCCTTGGGGGACACTCAAGGAGATCCTTGAGGAAGAAAGTGTTCTTCCTCAGCACATATTGATTGAGCAGGTGGTGTGAAGACTGCAGCCCGGCGCGGTCCTGCCTGGGGGAATCGGAGGCGCTACGCAGGCCAAGGGGATTTCATACTGTGGGGGTGGGGAATGGGGGAGCTGCGCACGTGAAGGATGAAGGGACGGGTAGAGTTTACAGGGACAAGAGAGAGTGGAGTAGGGAGGAAAGAACGTCTTGTGGGGGGTGGTTCCCACGGCAATCAATACCTGCCAGGACCTACCGTCCTCCTCTGGTGGTCTGAGTCATTGGAAGGAGCTAGACTGGTGCTGAGTGGACCATTGGTCTTACACCCAGGACCTGGATTGCCTGGGGCAGGGTGTGGTCAGAGGGCAAAGCCGCCTGCTCCTTGGGTGAGGCTGCCATCTAGTGGTGAGTTTTAGGTAGTGTTGCTATCCGAAGTTGACTCCCGTGATACATCTTGTCACTCCTTGCCCAGCAACCCGTCTCTGGCCTGCTAATTAACACTGGACATGAACTTGGAAGATTCAGCTTCATACTGTTTGCTGATAAATACAATCTCACAAAAATAGTTACCACAATTCCAAAGAATTAGGTCTTTCTAGCTTTTGAATAATTGAAAAGATTTATGTATTCATTGCTTCATCAAATATTTATTGTGGCTCTATTATATGCTAGGAATATTTTAGACTAGGCACTGAAAATAGAGAAGACCTCGATGAACTGTACAATTTATTGATTGTACAAAAGAATTGATTGGCAAAAGAAAGGCAACCTAACCAACAATTCCAATCCGGAAGGAAAATCTTTTTGAGAAGACAAAGGAGGATCATCTTAAAACAGATTGGCCTAGAGTGGTGACTGGAATGGAAGGGAGAGGCTTTCCGAAGGAGGTGATGGCTAAGATGAGCCTTGAAGGGCACAGAGAAGCCAGAAAAGGGAATGATGGAGGGGCTGGAGGTGTTGGTGGTGAAGGCGGAGGTGGAAGTGGTGGAGGTGGTGGTGGTGGTAGAGATAGAGGTGGTGTTGGTGGTGGAGGTAGAGGTGGTGGTGGAGATGGAGGTGGTGGTAGAGGTGGAGGCGGTGGTGGAGGAGGTGGAGGTGTAGACGACGGGAGTGGTGGTGGTGTTGTAGGAGGTGATGGTGATGAGAGTAGAGGTGGAGGTGGTAGTGATGGTGGAGGTGATGCTGCTTCATGAGGCCAAGTTGGCGATGGCGGTGTTGATCAGGACACAGAGGGAACAGGCTATGGCACAGCACAGACTTTTCAGTTTCTCCTTTTACGAATTCCCAAGCATTCAGTAGTGAATATAAGGAATCCAGTCTAAAATTTGTGTGTGTTCTAACCAAGTATTCTACTGCTTTTTTTTTTTTCCTGCTTTATCTCCCATAATCCCCCCTGGTACGTAGTTGTATATTTTAGTTGCAGGTCCTTCTAGTTGTGGCATGTGGGATGCTGCCTCAACGTGGCCTGACGAGTGGTGCCGTGTCCATGCCTGGGATCCAAACCGGCGAAACCCTGGGCCACCGCAGCAGAGCGCACGAACTTAACCACTCGGCCACGGGGCCGGCCCCTCTACTTTTAATATTATAGAATTTTGGACATGAGAAAGATTCTAAAGAAATTATATCTAATGTGTTTAAGCAATTCTTCTGTTAATATTTGCACTGTGTCCCAGATTCTCATGCTAAGGATGGCGGCACCTTCTTGTGCCTTGGGCAATTAGGGCGAGGCCTTGGTGAAGTCTAGCGTGGACTCGTGTCACAGCCTGCTCAGGGTCTCCCTGCCTTGGTTGGCTCCCTCATCTGGCCTCATCACCACAGGAAGAATCAGATGTTTTTCTTTCCTTCCTTGCTTGCTTGCCTCCTTCTCTCCTCCCCCTTCTCCTCCCTCCTTCCTTCCTATTTTTTTTAAATTCAAAAAACAGTTGTGGCTACCTGCTATGAGCCAGGCTGGGCGTACCGATGAATCGAAGGTGAATAAGGCCCTGCCCCTGGGGGACTGACAGTCTAGTGGGGGAGATGGACAGGTAAATAGGTGTGAACAATCGTCAACAGATAACCCCCACCCTGGAGACAGAAGGATCTAGTCCTTTCCCCTCCTCTTTCGGCAGTCACCTCCCTCTAGAATATGTGGAGAGAGGGGCCCCCAGGCTGTCCAGTTCTCTGTTGCCTTTGCTACTACTGGCTCCACCCCCTCTTTGTCCCAGGTCCATCTCAGGACTCCAGTCTGCTGCCAGTCACACCCAAAGCTCCACCAACACAGGGCGTGTGTGTGTCTTATAGATAATTCCTCCAAGTGTGAGGGAGTAAAGGTTTTCCAGGCAGGCAACTGCTTAACTTTTTTTTCTGATTCAAAACATTTTTATTGAACACAAGCTGGGCTGATATCGAAGGTTAAACCGTTCCCAGGGACATCTGCTTTAAAAAAGGATGGTACGATAAAATTGGGCTTTTTTTTCTTTGGGTGTACAGTTTTATGACTTTTAGCACGTGCATAGATTTGGGTAACTACCACCATAATCAGGACAAAGAACAATCCCGTCACCCCAAGTGTCCCCGTGTGCTGTCCCTCTATAATTACTCTCTTTCCTCTGCCAATCCTGATTTGTTTTCCATCTCTATAGTTTTGGTTTTCAAGAATGTCATACAAACAGAATCGTACAGTGTGTAAACTTTTGAGACTGGCCTCTTGCACTCAGCATAAGGACTTCAAGATTCATCAGAGTTCTTACATGTATCAATACTTTTGTCCTTGTCATCGCTGAGCTGTATTCCATGGACAGATGAACCAGCTTATTTGTCCACTGACCCATTCAAGGGCATTTGAGTTGTTTCCAGTGTTTGGCAATTATGAGTAGAGCTGCTAGAAACATTAGTTGCTAGGTTTTTTTTGTTAGCATCAGTTTTTCTTTCTCTAGGAGTGGGATACCCAGATCGTATGGGGAATATAAAATTCACAAACGCTGAACTATGTTCCGAGCTGTACCATTCGCATTCCCACCAGCAATGTGAGTGTACCCACTGCTCTGCATCCTCATCAGCACTTGTGTTACCAGTTTTTTTTAAAAAAGTTTAGCCAATCAAACAGGTGTGTAGTGGTATCTCATCGTGTTTTGTTTTACATTCCCTCGTGGCTAATGATGGTGAATGTCTTTTCATCCTTATATCCTCTTCAGTACACCTGCTGATGTCTTTTGCCCATTTTTCAATTGGATAATTTGGTTTCCTATTGGATTTTGAGATTTCTTTATACGGTTTTGATACAAGTTCTTTTTGGGTATGTGATTTGCAAATTTTTTCTTCCATTCTGTAGCTAATCTTTTCATTCTCTCAAGGAAGTATTTGTTCATAAGTCATGGACAATGGCCCTCCCCAATGTCCCACTGCCCTCTGACTAATGTCCGCCTTCCTCGTAGGGCAGCAAGGACTATCTGTGACCTGCATCTAACCTCCTGGAGCGGGCTTGGATCTCAGTCCACTCACTGAGACCAGAACTACCAGTGTGCTTTTATTTTTATAAAATAACCATTTGATTTCTCTTTTGAGCCACCACTGTGTTTGGGCG